ATCAGACGTGCATATTTATATATTATCTCAACTGGGAAGCAGAATGCATTCCTCTTGCCAAAAAAACAGATGCATGTATATGTCTTATGTACACATGCTGTTTTGACTAAAAAACAAAGCTTCTTCCCTTCCTGTCTTAAATGTCAGGGTATTTTTTAGAATACTACGTACTATACTTTCAGGCATTCACTTTTATAACATATTCTGCCCCATGAACATGAGGTTAAGGGGAGTGTTGGCTAGGACAGACACTCTGCACCTCAGCCACATAGCTGCAGGCAAGATAATGGAATGTCTTCCTTTTTCTATGTTCATGTAATATGGACGCTATCCTGCTTCCACTGAGCAGAGTTTTATCACTTATTTCAGCAGGAACAGGATTGCAACCTTTTTCTTCATTTGGGGAGTTAGGTAGGGAAAATACATTTCTCTTCAATCTTCCTCTGGTAAGTTTTCTGTATGAACTGGTGGATTTAGCCAATGTGAGGTCAATGCAGTGATCTGTGACTCAGACTGCAGAGCTCTCGAGTCATTGATCACACCAAATTGCTCACAGCTATTCTGTACCTTTAGTATTGTATTGTGTCACATTTCACCACTCTTCACCAGGATTGGAATTTGGAATGCCTCTTCTCCCCACCCACCCCGACGGAAGCTCATTCAATGTCTCTCTGTGGGGGTGGCACTCATTCCAGGTTACATTTACTTACCTTGTGGAGGTTATACATATTCTACTCTAAAACACTGCTATTTTGCTGCACTCCTCCTAAGGCAGAATGAAAGTCGCAATACAAAAGAAATGTGCTGAGCAGCACTGGTTCAGATGCTCTCCACTGCATTGCTCAGTTGCTCCTGCCATCCTCTCTAAACATAATAACTCACCTGTGTAAGTGTAATGTTGTCATTATAAATGAAAATATAAAAAACAGCTCAAGGGGGAAGGAGAAAAGTTAAGAAGTATCATGTTACAGAATATGTAAACACTGAATGACTTCCTACTTTTCAGTTCAGTGTGTCAGTCCTGCTTCAAAGCTAGAAATGAGAGGAGTAGAGTTATTTAAAAATAACTGCAGTGGTATCATCTTATAACTAAGTTGCTTTTCCTGTCACAGAACAGCCTCAGCATAAGCGCAGGTTCACTATTACTGGATTTGCAATTTGTGCCTTGCAAAGCATTGAAAAACTTCAAACCTTTCACTTTAATTGATTATAAATGGAATTTGACTGTATGCAGGCTCCAAAGTACTATTAGGAGGCCAGTTCATTGAACCCCAAACCCAAGCCCAGGACCCAGCCTGAGTAGTGATGCTGGGCACTGGGTAGATGAATTGAGGGTGGAAGGGAAGGAATCCTTCTAGGCCTTGGAGCAACTGTGGAGGCTACTTCATAGAGGCTTCCACAGGACTTTATATGCCTCATCCCTTACTCTACATAGGAACAATTCAAATAGTAGTAGTTCCTCTGGGACTGCCTTCTAGTTGTCTACCCATTTCCACCCAGGACTCTGTGCTGCAAAGAGGGTGTGCAACACATACAACCAGCTCTACTTCTGCTGCCAGGGGTTCCTTTGTAGCAGTAGGGGAGGGGCAGGATTTGTACCTCTAAGCATAATTCTGTGTATTAAAATGAAAGAATATTGAAATTAGAGCTCAGGATACACTGACAGCTTTCACTTACACATCCAATTTTAACCTTATTTAAAAAAAATGTCTTGATGTTTTAATTGTTTAGCTGGGAGCATCATTTTTTGTTGACATTCTCTTTTTGCTTTAGAGCCATAGGAAGTTTGCCAGTTGTATATAAAACTAAAATAGGTAAATAGACTTATTTTAAGTACATGCTGCATTTTGTGTTTCTTGTTTTGAAAACCTTTATAACTGGCACAAACCTTTTCCTCCTACCCCCCTTTTAAGACAACTGAGTTGTTTTCTGGACCATAGTATATCACCAGTTTGGAATGTATTAGGAGCTTTTAACATTCCTGCTAAATAATATGCCCATATTTTCCAAAACAAAAAATATCTCATCTCCAGTGTAATAAAGTCAGGCATCTGGTCAGCTTACATGGTCACAAAGTGAAGAAATGAATATAGCAACCATGTCAGAACAGTGGAAATAGCCTGTGACTTCTGTCAATGTATTGAGAATAGTGATCTTTACTGGACTTACTTATCCTTAACTTTCCATATAGTGCACACTTGTGTTTGAGAGTATTCTTAAATTATCTGAAAAAAGTCATGGTAGAGAAAAATGGCAGATTATCAAAAACACATATCTGTGTTTGGCATCCATTTAAAATTCTTTAAAGTCCAATGGAGTGACAAAATGCAGTGAGTAGAAGTGGATCTCTCCAGTACTAAAGAAAATATGATAGCTAGTTACTCAGCTCTAAAACTATAAGGACAAAGGACTTTACCATTACTTAAATACAAGGTATATGTGAGCATATGCATATGTATGTAAACTGTCAATAGCAAATAACAGTATGTAATCTATGGTTACCATATCTCATAAATAAAAAAAGAGGACCCTCCACGGGCCCTGGCCCCGCCCATTTCTCCACCCCTAGCCCCGCCCCAACTCCGCCCTTTCCCCACCCTAACTCTGCCCCCTCCTCCCTTCCACTCCCAGCCAGGGGGAAAGGGCTGCCCCAGTGCTACCGGCTTCAAGGTTTGCCGGGCAGCCCCCAGACCCTGCGCCCCCAGCCGGCGCTTCCCCAGCGCAGCTGGAGCCCAGGAGGGGAAGCACCCAGCCGGGGACGCAGGGTCTGGAGGCTGCCCAGCAAACCGTGAAGCTGGTAGCGCTCGGGCTTTGGGCAGCCCCTATGCCTCCGGACCCTGCACCCCCAGCCGGGCACTTCCCCTCCCGGGCTCCAGCGGCGCAGGGTCTGGAGGCACGGGGCTGCCCGAAGCCGGTAGCGCTCGGGCAGCCTGGCTCTTAAACAGAGCCCAAGAGTCGGGGAGGAGCAGAGCCGCCATTTTCCCGGACATGTTCGGCTTTTTGGCAGTTCCCCCCGGATGGGGGTTTGACTGCCGAAAAGCCGGACATGTCCGGGAAAAAGAGGACGTATGGTAACCCTATGTAATCTAACATATGACATGGAATACAAATGATCCAAACATCTCACAGTTCAGAATATTAAGGGCCTTATTCTACCCTACTGTTTTAAAACACCTGGGAAGGGCTCTAAAATTCCTATGAGGTTCAACAAGCTGATTTGCTGCATAATGTTCCATTTAAGGAGGAGGGGCTTCTGGTCTTGTGGTGTGGCAAGGGATATAACCATCAAAATCCACCTTGCTGAGGTTCCTTAGGGGAAAAGAAGCTTAGATCACACAGGGCCAGGGTCCCTGCACAGAAGCTCCAACTCTCTCTATTGTTGTCTGTCCCCTTTTCCCACTTTAGTAGCATTGGCTCTCCACATCTTTTGTGGTTTATTTGCCCCATTTTGCACTGTTTACATTTACCTCTCTTCTTCTCATAATGGGCGTGCTGTAGAGCTATGAGTAAAACTGACATACCAACACTTTATAGCAACAAACATAAGCAAACTTTAAAGTTTGAAGATTTAGCATGATAATACCACAGGTCTGTTAACCTCATTTTTTTTTCTTATATTAACAACAACAATCACATTTATAATCTGTGCTGATTTACTTGTTCCAGGAGTTCTTGTTTATTAGTTTATATCCATAATGCTACCTAGTTACCAACCTATTGAACATTAGCACTTAAAGATTGCTTTACACCTTCAAAGCATACCTCAGTCAAACAAAGGGACCGATCTTTAAACCTGTGTGGAGTCTCATTCATTCCTTTGCAGGATTGTAGCTTTTGTTAGTATATTCATGTTTGCACAGTGTTTTGAAAATCCAAAGTGATAATGTCAATATGATTGTTAAGATGACAGCAAGGTGAAATTATATATACATTTTAGGTTGTAACAAAACCTCTAACACTAGAAAACTAGACTATATTTTAATCTCTAATCTATTTGCACATGACTTTTTTTATTAGTGTAATATTACTAATATACACTAGTAAACAAGTGTCGTGCAAATAGATTAGAGATTAAAATATAGTTTAGTTTTCTAGTGTTAGAGGTTTTGTTGCAACCTAAAAAATACAGTTTATTAATAGTAAATTAAATGTATTATTATTGTTTGTTATTACGGGTACAATATTTCAAAAACCTAATGTCTATTAACTTTCACTAAAATGAATTGAAATGTGTAATATGCTTCAATGGGAGGTAGACACCTAGCTTTTTTTTTTTTCCTTTCTAAATTCCCAGTCTACATTTAAGTGTCTTCTAAATGTTGAGAGTAGAACTCACCCACTTCTTGGAATACTCTTGAGTGTCAGAGTTCAGTATGTAAACTTTTATAGTGACAATTATTTCTTCTGTAATCTCTGACATTTTGAATGAACACGAATCCATAATAATCAACATTTGAATGGTCCCAGTGGAAGCATCTGGTTTCAGCTGTGCCAGTGGTACTTTAAAGGCTTTATAAAGTCAGCTGGCAGCATACCCAATCTCCAGGCATTAAATTTTATGGCAAAAGAGCTAAGAGAGACTGAACATTTCTGTTTCCTGTTATCTTTCTTATGGGGATGGGCTTCCAAAACCACAGACAGTGATTTTAAAAAGGTCTATGTGTGTGTTAGTGTTACCAGTAGCCACGACATAATTCAAATTTGAGCATTTATCTTGTAAATCTTGTATAGTTTTTCTCTTACCTGATATAGGTTTTTTGAAACAGATTTATTGCCAGACTGAATGAAGGTACTTGATAGTGTTGCAAACTGAAAAATCCATGACATTCCTAATGCAATGTCAAACACTACAAATTGTTTATTTTAAATTAGACAAAACTTCAAAGTTGTATGTTCAGTTAGTCAACATTAAGATATTAGTATGTTTTAAGTCATGTTTTGAGAATCACTTGTTCAAAGACCTAACTTTTCAGTGACATTCAGAATCTTTTCTCTTGCAGCCATTTCGTAGAGTGACGTTTTCTGTTGTGAGTCAGCCTCAGGACCCACATCAAGGGTCATTGCAGAGTTGCTATGACAGCGGTCTGGAGGAGTCAGAAACACCAAGCAGTAAGAGTTCATCAGGGCCAAGACTGGGTGCCCTTCCACTCCCAGAGGACAACTACGAAAGGACTACGCCGGATGGCAGTGTTGGTGAGGCAGAGCATATGGAAAATGGTAGGGGCAAACACAACATTCACACACATAATCACACTAGTGAGCCATAATAAGTAGACTTGTGGAAAGGTCAGTCCAAAATAATAAAATAAAATAGCTTAAATTATAACTATTTTATTTTAAATGGTAAAATTTGTTAAAATGCAGCCATACAAAATAATGGAACATAACCATACAAATAAAATCAGCAGGATATTTTTACATTATTTTAAAACTACATTGCTGAAACAGTTAAATAATTTAAAAAAATCAGTGCAGGGGCTGGGTTCAAGGAAATTAAATTGCATACACAATGTTTTTTTTAAACAAAAGGAATTGATAAGGGACATGTGTTCTATTTTCTACTTCCATTTTTTTTGTCATACAATCATTGCTTATGACATTTTCCTGAAATTGAATTTGTGCAGCATCAGCATAAAGAAAATAGGAACTAAAAATCTCCTTCTAGAGTCTTCCCTTTCCCCCCAATATTATGCAACCTGTTTTCAAAACAATATTGAGGTTTCTACTCCATGTTGAATTATTTAGAAAAGGAAAGCACGGTTTGATTTTTTCCTCCACGGTATATTGTGGAAAATACTTTTAGAACATATCATTTCAATTAACTATTTTTTTATATATATGGGGATGGGGTGGGGAATGCATCCTGATTTGCAGTATGAGTAATTCTTCAGCAATTACAAAATTATGGTAATTAAATACTTAATAGTTTGCAATTTTCTTTTTTGTCTACGATTAGAAAATAGTGGACTTTAAAATACTTTTCTATAATAGATCTTAAATAATTTACTGTTCCACACTTATTGACCCTTATCTAAAGCTCTTTGAAGCTTTGGGTGATGCCCTTAAACTATATAGTAGATTACTTTATGTCAAAGATTACCGCATGTCAAAGAGTACATAGTGCTGACGTGTGAAATGAGGAGTTTGCTAATCAAGTTTGTATAGTTGTGTATGTGAGGAAGATGGAGTCTCATCAGCTCCTCAAACCCAGTATAGATTTTGTTTGGCTTTGTGCATGACTTTAGCTTCTTTCAAAGGCTTAGATCAGCAGTTAAAATTGTTCTTGTTTTATTCCTAAAATAGACATATTGACCCAATAAAAATAGATCATGCTCTGTGGTCAGGAAATTGACAAATCTAATGTATATGAGGGAGAAGGACTGCAGCAGTCTGCATTTGCTGAAGGTCTGCATTTCAGCAATGCATGACTATTTCAAGTCATACAGAATAATGGACACCCTCAACCCCCAGTGGAAATAATAATTATCCTAAATTCAGTTATCGTTTTCCCATTTATATATGTGTAAAGCTGTTGGGAGCCTGCTTCCTAAATTGTTATTTATTTTTATTTTTGTTAATTTATGGGTGAAATTTAGTGCTTAGGAAAATGAGGCTAAAGCACTGGCTATATCCAGGTAGATACAGTGCAATGAAGGCAAGTATTTTTGAGATTTAACTGAATAAGTTCACAGTTCTTCTGAAACTGTCTGAAGCACAATATATATAAAGCAATATATAAACACGGAATCTTGGATGAACTGTAAGACTGATTTATCCTAACTTTTGATGTGCTGTTCAGTAGATAATAAAAGTGGTCTTATCCAAATTTATTCTCAGAAATTCCAACATACAGTGGACTCTAGTTTGCTTAAATTTTGGAAATTGTGGGGCAACTACCATTATACTATATTAATTATTAAACTTTAAAATGAAATTAAAAGGAGGACAAAGGTAACTTTTCTTTGTTAGTATTACATATTTACCCTTTGAAATTAGACAGATTTCAGAATAAGTAGGAGCACAACCAGATCAAACTACTAAATGTACTTATTATGCCATGAACATCTCCAAAACAAGAGTAGCATGATAGAAGTCTCAAATTGTATAATGCAAGGATTACAGACAGTAAGGGAGACTTTTTGTCATATTCACAAAATCTTGAACTGAACCCCGTGAAAAGTGGGTGACATTGTGATGAAAATTATACTCTACTGACTTTTGAATTCTGCTGTCACTTTTTAAAACAGGATTTAGACAGTGGCATGTCATCTGCCTCCAGTAATTTTTGTTAGCATTAGTCAATAGGTGATGACAGAACAAGATGCAATGCACTTTTGGTCCTCTATAAATGTAGCATTTGACATTTGAGTGAGTGCTTTCTCTGATCCAAATTTTAAGATGACTTGTCTATCTATATAGAACAATTGTATTGCTCAAATTCTGGTAATTTAATCTTCAATATTAATGGATCATTCTGACATAAATAGAATTAGAATTGAAACCTGTCAAGTATTCATTTGTCATATTTAATTGGACTCTCGGTAATCTGCAGTGTTTTGGTTGGTTAGGTTTTAATCAGGATTTGTATTGGATTTTCATTTGGATTTTCTATGGAAACAGCACTTTGAAAGCTATCTTAGTTTTTAATTGTTATTACTTCAAATATTTACCATTTTATTTCAACCGGTGCAAAACAATGCAGTTATAACTAATTACTTTGGATTTACTTTCATTTTAAAGTTTGAGGAGATAATTTGCAGCACAGTAATGTAAAATCTTCTGATACCTTTGATGCATTCTCTGTGCAAGATAGGAACACTAATGAAAACAAGGCACCTTTCACGTTTCAGCAAGTGGAAGAAGGCTGAATCTACTGCAGCCAGAGTAAATACCGGTAATGAAATGCAACTTCTCAAATTTGTTGGTTAGATGTCTCTTTCTACTTTTTCGGGTTAGCATGAAACAGAGAATTGAAACAATAATGCAAGTAGGTTGGTTTTCTTTATAATAAACTGTACAGTATATTACAAGCCTATATGAATGTCAGATGTAGATTGAAGTTTGGTTTGCATTATTAGCTATGGTGTCAGCTGTTGTGTGTGGGGTGGGGTGGAAGAAATGTTAGCAGACGGGATGTGAAAATGCAGTATGAAAAGATTTGCTAATTCGTAAGATCTGGAGAACCAGAAATAACTTCTGAGTCTTTTTCCCCAGCCCTTGCAGCTTTCCTTACAAGGCAACCCTACTCATTTGTGCAATCTTGTCCAACACACATAAATTGTTTCTCTAATGTGGTCATTAAAAAGTCATTATTTTAACAGAAATTGCACAGTGCTTTTCTCAAGAGGACATATTATTTTTCTTTACATCTTGATTTTTATATTGTAAATATAGGCATTGTCATACTGGATCAGATTCCTGGTCTATCAAGCACAGTATTCTGTTTCTGACAGTGACCAGTAAGTACCAGATACTTCATAGGCATGTACAAGAAACCACATAATAGAAAACTGTGGAATAACTTTCTCTCGTGACCTCTATTAGGCCTGGTCTACATTAGAAAATTAGATTGGTTTGAATACATCAGTCAGAGGTGTGAAAAATCCACACACCCTGAGCAACGTAGTTAAGCTGACCTAACTCCCTGTGTTAGGTAAGTGCTAGGAAAATGGAAGATTTTTTCTGTCAACCTAGGCACCACCTCTCAGTGAGGTGTATTGCCTATGTGAATGGGAGAACCCCTCCCATCGGTTTAGGTAGTGTCTGCACTGTAGCTTTTTAAGTGAAGACAAGCCCTTAGGTAGTGGTCTGAATCATGAAGGTTTATATTTTCTAAAAGATTATTCATCCTATCTCATTTAATTATAATTATTGCCACTGTGAATACATGCAATTTTATGAATTCTACTAAATTATTGGCCTCAGTGATCTCTTGTGGCAGTATGTTCCATGAGTTAATTATCAATTCTGTAAAAAACTATTCATTTTTATCAATTTCATGTTTGTTTTCTTTAAACCACACTGAATATCCCATTGTTCTTGTATTATGAGAGAGAGTAAATAAAAGTGCTCAATTTACCTTTTCTATCCTTATTTTTATACCTTTATCATGTGGCCTCATATTTATTTCTTCTCTGAACTACATTCAAAGCCTTTCCAATCTTTCCTCATAGATAAAGTCTTGTTGTGCATCTAATAACTTTTGTTGCCTGTCTCTGAACTTTAATATCTGCTAGATGTTTTCTGAGATAGGGGTGACCAGAACTGAACACAGTATTCCAGGTGAGGGCATGACAATATTTTCAGTATTATTTTCTATCCCATTTTTTACACATGCTGTCATTAGGGCAATGCTTTTCACTGACATGTCTGTAGTAATGCCCATGTCTTTTTCCATGGGGCTAATTTAGAACCTGACAGTGTGTATGATTAGTTCAAATAAATCCTTCTGATGTGCACAACTCTGATTTTGTAAACAAAATATTTCATCTTTCATCTTGTTTTATAATTTACTTACCGGTATATATATAACAATGTTTTGTTTACAAAATCAGAGTTGTGCACATATATATATATATTATTTTGTAGCACCTTTCATCCAAGGACAAGGAAGCAAAGTATAACCATTCCTTAAGTCTCATGGCAAGCTTTTCAGAGGACAGCTGTGGCCCACTAGGTTGAGCATGGGACTGGGAGTCAAAAGACCTAAGTTCTGTTTCTGTCTCTACCACTAGCTTAGTCAAGTCACTCAAACTCCTTGTGTAGCATTGCCAAACCTGTAAAGGTTGGAGAATAGGGATCAGCTGCTTTTATACAGGGCTTGGATATCTATAGATGAAAATAAAAGAAATTATTTATATATCCATCATTTTAAAGAAGAGGGAAACCAAAGCAAAGGAAGTTTAAGTGACTAGCCTAGGATTCACAGGAAGTGAGTGGCAGAGCATGGAATAGAACTCAGAACTCCTGACCCTCATTGCTTAGAGTCACTAGACAATTTTCTCCCTCCTAAAAGACAGCAGTAGTTAAATATGCTCCAATCAACAGAAAAATAGCTAAAGGACAAGAAAGAAAAATGGTATTCTCCAGTTCTAGCAATAGGATTTGATTACTGCATTATTTTACCTAGGACTAAAGTTGAAACTGCCATTAGGTATCAAATGGGTTGTGCAAAATTAGAGATCCATGTTACTAGAGCAAGAGGAGTTAGTTGTGTA